TTAAGTTTTCCCTTGATAACAATGATTATTTGGTTATCCTGAAGTGCATTTTGCTGTGAAAAGGTAAGAATAAATGTCTATTACTTTCCTTTAATTATTGACTTTAAATATAAATAATTGGTATTCACATGTAGTTATGGCCAATTAGTTTCCTTTCTTTCATGTCTTTGTATGGAAATTATTTTAATGTGGACTTCAGAAAATATATATTCAATGTTGATTAAATAAATTACTGTCATTTTTCCTTAGGATATCCAAATTTCTCCAGATGAGGCCTGTGGGGGGCCCAAACCTATCTTCATGTACATTTGAAACAATCCCATTAGTCTTTAAATGTTTGCTTGTGTGTTATTTTTGACACAGGATGTCCCAGTTCAATCTTACTTCCTGCTCAGAACCAATGTGGTTAGAAATCTCAGCCTGGCTACGTCTGTTCTTTGATATTGGGGTGCCATTGCTCTAACCTGTTTTCATTAGGCAGAGCTAAGATATTTATTTTTAATGTTTTCAATCACATATAAATCACTTGGTTTTTTAGACTTCATCGTATTTTATTCCAGGTCCCATCAACTTGGTGTCTGCGAGAGGGCCCTTAGGTTTGTTCTGACTGGCATCTGAAGAAAACTGAGGCTCCTTTGGCCTTGGAAATTGAGAACTACACACAAAGACGTTTCCAACCAGATGTTGCTTGTTTACCATTTTCTGAGAAGGAAAGAAGTATTTCTCTTTTCCTCTGGGGACTCTCTTTTACCCTATGACAAGACAGGTATTGTCAGACTTCAGATGCAACAGCAGAACTACTGGTCTCCAGAGAGATGAGCTAATGGCATCTTTTTTATATATTTGTATCTGGTAGCCTCAGCTCACACAGTGACTGCTGCAAAGACCCAGGCGCGTAAATATCTTTATTTTTCAGATTTGGAAAATCTCAGTGGAAAAGGAAACAAAGGAGGCTCCTAGGCTTGCAGTGGAAGCAGATATTCTAAATTCTGGCTTTCACTAAATCATAACCAGGACACAGGTATTTATTTCTAATGGGCTACAGAACTTCTTAGAACTTGCACTGTGTTATTATTTCATGAATCTTAGGTGAGTGACTTTTCTTGAATAAACACCCATGTAAGTAAAATATTTCAAGAAGCCAGCAGTTCTTAGGGTTACATTCATTTCTATGACTTAATATTCCTCATATCCTGTTTTGGAATTCATAGGAAATATTTAAAAGTCTATTTAATATGGTTTATTTTTGGCATTAAGTTCAAATAAAATGTATAGTATGTATTGACATGAAACTGACATAACTGTATTCTCTTAAAATGTTCTTGACTGTGCTATCTCAGAATGACTAGTCTTCTTTCTCATGAGACACCTATTACGCTTTTTAAAACATTCTAATGTTATAAAGAGACACTAAAATAATAGAATAAATTTAAATTTGTGGTAAAATAGTATTCTTCATGACTTGGCATAATGATATTATTACAGATAACCATAGGGACTCATTTATCTGGCTATAATTTACATCTCCTATGTTAAAGAACAGTTTTTCCTTGTAATCTGCCATATATGTGGAATTACCATCTGCTCTCAGCTGATCTGTTATTCTTTCCTCACGCATAATCATGGTGAAGAGGAAATAGAGTTTAGTTTCAAGTATTATTTTGAAATATTTTGTTTAATAATATTAAATTTACTAAAGACTGTAGAACTAAGACAAATTTCTTTGCTACAGTTTCACTGAGTTTTCTGTAATAAGCAATAGAAGTTCATAATAATTAAGAGAAAAACATTTTATCTTGTTAAAGACTTTTCTTTGCTCCTTTCTTCCAAATTTCAAATGATGATGTTTTCAGTCAGAACTTTCTTCCCCAAATATTTGCCAAGTAGAGTTTTAACCGAGTCATTGAATTACCACAAATTTCAAACTTGGGGTGTGTATATAAAGTAACTTAAGCATATTCTCCAGTAATTGAGTTTGAAGAGGAAAATGATAATGGTACAGCAGAGACTCTTCCCTTCCTGAGTATCTTCCATATATCTGGCAGTATGATCTTGGGGAACCTGGACAGATGTCCTGAGGGAGACGAGAGGCACAGGTTCCCACTCCTGGGCAGAGAGGTGTCTTTCAGGGCAGGAGTGAATCACGGTAAGAAACAGCTTAGGTAAACAATGTCCCGATAGCATTCAAAGAGGGGCCACGTAACCGAGAAAACAACCAGTTGTTCTTAAACTTAGTCATGTTGGAATATCTTGTCTCCCCACTGGCGACGCGCACACCAGCTGCAGCGATGGGGCAAGCGTGACGGGCTGAATTTCACTGGTTCTGTTTCCAATGCCCGGATTATACTTTTTAAATCCTTGGTTCTCTTGGAAATTGGCTGCTTTGTTCACATGTCATGAGAATGCGTGTGTGACCTATTCCCTTCTACCATCTGCTGAGATGCACAAGAAGTGGCAAGTTGTTTGTTAAAAGTCCCACGTTGTTCTTTGTTACAAAAAGATCTCCAGACTCGACGTTGTTTGGGTTTCGGCTAAATTGGGCATTGTATTTATGATAGGCCCCCCGTTTCCCCATCTCCTAACTCTGCAGTGCCATTTTCTGTCCTCCTACTTCTTCACAAAACACATACAAATGCCTTGGGGCAAAAGTAAATATTCCGTAAACAAGGAAGGAGGTTAGCTCCACCTTTCATTGGGTTCAGCCTCATTTGTTTAACCAAAAGTTGTGTCATCTTCTGTTTTGTTTTGTAATATAAAGATACATTCCATAAAAGATTTTGGAATCTTCCTAAAAACACAAGTGTTCTTCTTTCCCCAGTCATGTGGCACCGGCATATTCCAGAAGGGATATGTGGCCTCCCTTTACTATGCCAGTTGCGTTCCTCTGTATTTCTCTCAGTGGTTTTGGCACTGATGTCATGAGCATTGTGTCAAGGACGTGGGGTCTTAATACCTCTGGCTTCCCTTAGAAATGTATATTGATAAAATTAGAGGGTGATAATAGATCTTTAGAATCATTTATTCCATCACTCTTACTATTCCCATTGGAGGTTCTGAGGAGAAATATGATCACTTTCTCAGCATTACTAAATGATAAATTTTAAGGCATAGATTATATTAAATAGATTAAGCAGAATGCCTGACTTCAGGTCATGGCCCCTTAGTATTATTTTTAACAGGTCCCACAGAACTCTGTATAAATACTAAAGATTAATTAAGGAAACTCAAAGGCATGGGTTCCTGAGCAGCTGATGGTCTTCCAGGGCAGGACATCACAGTGCCCTGTGAGAGATCTCAGGCAGAGAATGCCTAATTGTTCAAATGGTGGAGGCATTTTTCTCTAACACACAGGTCTGAGAAAAATAACATAAAATGTGACACTTCTTACTACTGATAATGGAGGAGACCATGTTAGATAGTTCCCTGTTTCACTGGACTGGGTGGTGAATGTGGGAAATGTCCAGAACTACCTCTTGGGGAAAATGGAAAATAAGAAAAGCTAGAGTACTGCCAGTGCCCAAGGATCAAAGATTGTCAGAAGAGGTCATGTTATCATAGTGGTTCTCTCAGCTGTGAAACCCTCGATATACTACACTTATTCTCAAGCCAAAGTCAGGTGGTGCTAAACAACAAATCAACAATTAATACTTCTAGAGTGCATCATATATGGCAGGCATTTTCTAAATGCTTTTCATATATTTACCTATGCATTCCTCCAGCAGTGCTATGATGAAGTACTATGTCATCCCTCTTTTACTTACGATGTTAACTGAGACAGCAGTCATTAAGTGAGTTGACAATACTAACCCAGCTGGTAAGGGGTGGAATCTGGGTTTAAACAAAGGCCCTCTGGATCTAGGGTACAAACTACTAAATCCCTCATGATTCTGCCCTTCTGTAATTAAAACACAAAAATGGTCCTGCTGGAATTATTTACTTGGAAACTTCTCATCTCCACTAGTCCAAAATTTATACCAACAGGCTTTAGCGAGCAATTGTTAGGTAAGCAGCGGTGTTCCAGGGACCGTGTATCCAAAAATGAGTAAGTGCATCTCTGTCCTTGAGAAATTTGCAGGGAAGATAGAAAGTAAAAGCTGCCCATTAAATTGGGTAATGCGTGTTCAAAGGGAAGCATAGGTACTGCAGGCTCCCAGAGACGGGTGCGATGTCAGCGCCACCGTGAGGAATAATTTCCTTGGAGGAATGAGTGATGTTTGAGTTGAAATTTAAATGCTGAATAAGAGCGAGTCATATTTGTGTAGAATAATTTTGATTAAAATGATTCTAGAGATTGAAAAGCATGATGTGATGATTCGAAGTGCTAACCTTAAAGATGAAAGTTACAAGCAAAAGCGAGTTTATTAGAGAATAGCAGAAAGTTGCACTTACAGGCAAGTAAGCTTCAGCAAAGCTGTAGGGGGAAGACCGCTTTTTGACAGAGAAAGGGGGCCGGGATGAGGCAGCAGGTGCGTGGGACTGGAAGGGGCTGTTATAAACAGAAAGTCTATTGGAGAAAATTAGTTCAAAGCATAGTGGCTTCTCATTCGTTGGGTTGTGACAGCCACTCAGGCTGGGCTGTTGCCAGGAAAGGCTGAAACCTTCCTTCCTGCTGCTGGATAGTAAAGAAATTGCTAAAGCATCACCGCCTTGCAAGGTCCTTCCCTTCCTTTTGGGTCTGCAATTGATTCAAGTGGTGGGCATGAGCGCTCCCCCTGCTGGCCTTCCAGCTCCATGTCAGTGAGGCTTGGCTTTATCTTCACAGATTGTCAGTTTTCTCTTGTTTTTCTTTCCAGAAATACATTATTTGCTCTAAAATTCACACGAAGATGAACAAACATTCCAGTTATATTACTATAAAATATGCCGTTTACCCCCAAGCTTGCATAGGGATCTCAGCAAATACCTTTCTTCTTTTCCTCCACATTTCAATTTTCCGTTTGGGACCCAAGCCCAAGCTCAGTGACCTGACCATCACTCACTTGGCTGTAACACATATAAACATGCTCCTCACCGCAGGCCTCTTGGTGTCTATGGACATCTGGGGGACACAGGATATGCAGAGTGACTTCAGATGTAAGGTGATTGTCTTCCTCAACAAGGTACTGAGGGGCCTCTCCATTGGTACCACCTGCCTCTTGAGTGTGCTGCAGGCCATCACCATCAGCCCCAGAGGCTCCTGGTTGGCTACATTCAAACCTAAATCTCCAAACCCCATCCTATGTGTATTTCTCTTCTTGTGGGTCCTGAACACGTCCATCTGCAGCAACCTGCTTCTCTACACTCTGGCCACGCCCAATGCAACCCAGACTAGTCTTCTCTTCCTCACTGGGTACTGTTCCTTTTGGCCCATGAGCTACATGCACAGGGGCCTGTTTTTCACACTGATGACATTCAGAGATGTCTTCTTCATGGGGCTTATGGTCCTGTCAAGTGGGTACATGGTGATTCTCTTGTACAGACATAAGCAGCAGTCCCAGGGTCTTCACAGCAAGAGCCCCTCTCAAAGAAGCTCCCCCGAGAAAAAGGCCACTCAGAAGATTCTTCTGCTGATGAGTTGTTTTGTGATCATATATTGTGTGGACTTCATCACCTCATTCTCCATTGGCATGACATGGACAAGTGACCCAATCCTCACAGGTATCCAGATGCTCATGGCCAATGGCTATGCCACATTCAGTCCTTTGGTGCTAATCAATGCAAGGAGCAAATAATAAAAAGTATGCAACCCATGTGGGAGAAGAAAGGTCAGTGTTTAACGAAACAGCAATAGATATTAAGGAAAAAAAATTTCCCTCTCATATGAACCTTATGTTTCACAGAACTTTCTGAAAAAAATTAACATGGGATTTTAAGTTTTCTGTCATAAAGTAATACACACACACACATGCATTGTAGATAATTTTGCACTGTATCCAAATCATTTAATTTATATGCTTATGAATGTTTTGCCCATTTCTATTTGCATCCTCTTAGATCTTGATTCAGATATTATTTTCCTTCCTCCTGCATTACATTCCTTGAAAATTCTTTTAGTGAAATTCTGTTCAAGGTACATTGTCCCTTTTTTGTCTAAAAGTGTCTTTCTCTTGTACTCACTCTTGAAAGATATTTTAGCAAGATACACAGTTCTATGTGGGCTGATATTTTCTTTCAGCACCTTGGAAAAATTATTACTGTCTTTGGCTTACACTGTTGATTTTAAGAATTATGTTTTCATTATGGATATTGTACTTTTAAAGGAAGATTCCATACATTCTTGTTCAGTTTTAATTTCTTGTATTAGTTTAAAGTATTATGTATTTTCACTAAAATATATCTACATATGGAAATCCATCTTACATTCATATTGTTATATGTCTTAGTTAAGCTGTACCGTATACATAATTATGTATTTTGAAGACCTATGTCTTTATCTCTTCCAATACTTGTTCTTCTTCCCCCCATTTACTACTTGTGAAATTCCAACTCAGTGTGTGTGAAACCTTATTTTATTCTCTATATCTCAATTTTTTATATTTTCCATTTCTGTTCTCTAAATTGCATCCTAATTTCTTCAGTTGAATATTCTGTTCACTAATTCTCTCTTCAGCTGTGTTTAAACTGCTGTTTCATACATCTATTAGTTGTGTATTAGATTTTATTTTTTTGTTCCTAAGAGTTTCGTGTTTAATCAGTAGTACTTTATAATTACATATTTTATTCATATTTTATTTTTATATGTCTTTAAGCATTAAAATTTTTTTCTCTACCTGATAACCAGAATTGATATCCATGGAAATATAATTTCACTTAAGGTCTTGATGGCTATTCTTAGCATTTTCTAATTTTAGATTATTTTCCTATTTGGCAAACTTTAATAGAGAAAATGAACATTCTAGTTGAGATGTATTTCTCCAGAGGGGATTTGAATTTTCTTCTTCCTGCTATATAGCACAAGTCTGGGGAATTTTCAGATTATTCTTTTGTTTAGATTTTTCTGGACTCTACACATGGTATACAGTTGATTTATAAACCAACACAAAAGCAAGATTTTGTTCCCCAGGGACCAAAGAAGTAGAAAGGTAATTTCATTGTTAACATCCTTTGCCAGATTTTCCTAGATCATATTTTTTGCTAAAGGCATGTATTAAAAGTATTTTGGAATGTATGCACCCAAGTTCATAGCAAAACTGTTCACAACAGCCAAAAGGTGGATATAAGGGACAGAGGCCCAGATGGGTGCCAAGTGAAGTAAGAGAGGAACAGAAAGACAAATGCTGTTTGATTCCATTTATATGTGGTCCCTAGAGTAGTCAACATCATAGAGACAGAAAGCAGAATGGGGGTTGCCGGGGGCAGGGGGAGAGGGAGTTACTATTTAATGGGTACAGATTTCCAGCTTCAGAATATGAAAAAGTTCTGGGGATGGACAGCATTGATGGTTGCACAACATTGTGAAAAAGTGAATATACCTAATACCACTGAACTGTACACTTGAAAATGGTTTAAATGGTAAATTTTATGTTGTGTATTTCTTACCACAATTTTCAAAGAATATTGATTGGAAGGACACACTCAGTTATGCTGATAGTTACCTCTGGAAGAGGCAGAGAGTGGGAATGGGATAAAGAGGGACCTCAATTTGATCAGCATCTTTCTAAGCTTTTCCCATTAGCCTTGATTTTAAGTGTTGCACTTTATTACAGCTGAGCCTTATATAGCCAGTATGTGGGACAAAGAAATCCTCTGGCTACTCCACCAACTTGGAGTAATGAGAATGGTTGTGGGGAAAATGGAAGTTCCTGTGGCCAGGATCCTCACCTGAACTTAAGCTACTTGATAATGTAATTGGCCTGCTGCTAGACTACTGCTTCCACACCCACAGGCAATAGCTATTATTGACTGAGTCACTATAGAATCTTTCCTCTAACCAAGTGGATTTGGGCAGACAGTTTGAGAACCTCTGTAAGAGTTGCCATGGTGTCTTGCCAATGGGTTTCAGCTCAGGCAAGTTCGGTATGGATTCAATGTCACCAAAGAAATGACAGCAAAACGTTCTTGGGGTGAAAGGGTTATACCCAACTTTATTTCCAGGTGGCAGGTCAGTCACTAGAATCCCATTCACTCAGAGAGAGTCTGCATGCAGCAAGCTGGTCTCTGCCTCTGGGCCCGTCTGCAGTCGTCGCGCCACAGCCGTCCTCTGAGCCTCTCTGCACAGTCGTCCTGCACAGCCATCCTCTGGGCCTCTGTCCTCAGTGCTGCCACCACTCCAGCCTCTGGTTTCCTGCAGCCTTGCAGCCCTACCATTGTGTCATGCCCAGAGCACTGGGCAGAGCTCTTTTTATAGAGTCAACAGCCATGTAGTGCCCACAGGTGTGCCGTGAACTAGTCAGCCACGGCCAGGTAAGAATCCTGGCCACAGGAACTCTAATTTTATCCACACATGGCTAGAAGATAATCTCCCGAGAATCCAGTGCCAGTATCTAGTACCCAACCTGTTTCTTTGGCTTTCTAGTGAGTGCTGGCTTCCTGACTGATTGTGTGGTCACACAGGAAGGGCCACATATGAATCACTTTCTCACATCCCTAGGACTTGGCTGTGTGGAGGTTTCCCAAATAGCCAAGTGAATGGGATCCATGACATTGTCACAAGGCAGTAACATCTCAGTGGTGACCAAATTTTTACTGAAAAAAAATGTGTTTTGTTCAATGTGCAAGGCTCTGTTTGAGGCTAAAAGAAGTTAAAAGGGTGCTTCTTGGGGCTGTCAGCTTCCAAACTTGGCCAGCTCCAGGTTTTTGCTCCTAAGCAAGTTTTTAAAATGTTCCAGATATGGATACCACAGTTCTCTACCTACCACCTCAAACCACATCTCCTCACATCCGATGGGGCTGTCAGGCTTCCCTGGGGCATTACCATGTTCTGTGGTGTGGCCAGCGACTTTCTGGTGCTCACGTCCTTGTGTCCCTTGAGTGTGGGCTGTGACTGACTTCCGACAGACAGAATATGGTAAGGTGACAGCATGTCATATTCGAGAGTAGTTTACAAAAAGCCTTGCAGCTCCCATCTCACTCTCTTGGCGTGCTCTAACGGAAGCCATTTGCCACGCGGGAGCTACCTCAGGGGAGGCCCAAATGACAGGAAACCAAGAGGGCCCTGGCCAACAGCCAGTGAGAAACCAAGGCCCTCAGCCCAATGCCCCACAAGGAACAGAATCCAGTCACAAGCCACCCAAGTGATGTGGAAAGGCTGTCAAGCCTGGAGAGGACATAGCCTCGCTGACACCGTAAGCACAGCCCCGTGATGCTCTGGGCCCGAGGACCCAGCTGATCTGTGCCCATACTCCTGACTAGCAGCAACTGTGAGAGAATAAATGTTTCAAGCTAAGTTTTAAAGTAATTATTTACATAGCACTAGGACTAATACACCTGGGACATGGGATAGATGTGGCACTACTGTATCACAGGCTGAAAACTGTCTGACAGTTACCTTGGGCAAGTCAGCCTGCAAGGGCGTCAGTCCCTTACCTGCAAATGGGAGGGGGTCTCCCCATCTCACAGGTGAACTGCAGTACCTGTAGGAAGGCCTCTTCTCACTGGCAAAAGCAGTTAACTTGCTATGAACCCAACAGAATTGTAACAGATTCTAACTGGCTTGCCAGTATCTTAAACAAGAAATTGAAGAGGAATTTCAATTGAATTTTCGATAATTTATAATTTCCTTTTATCAAAAACATTTTTAATTAGTAGAAACAAAGGACACATTCAAAATCAGGTAAAAATCATGTTTCCCCTTTTAATTGACTACTTAATTCACAGCACTTCCACTCTTGGTTGCTACTTTGGTAACAATTAGGTCCCCACCTCTCAAGAACACTGGGTCTGAACAGGCTGAGACAGAGCTAGTGTGAACACTGGCCCCAGAACCAGGGCTTTCGGAATAACAAGAACAGCGAAAACCAGCCTTTCTTCTAACTTAGAAAGGGATGATCAATCAGAGCATCCAAAGCTCTGCTTTCCAAACATGGAAAACCAGGAGCTCAATGTGAAAATGGGAACCAAAATATATCAGAAATGCAGTGCAGTATCTCAGTACTCTGGATGGAGAGGACGTTGGGGAAGTAGGCATCTGCCCACCTGGCCTCTGCATGAGGAATGGCCCCACTCCAGCATGTGTAAAGGAAGACGTTTTGCTTCTATTTGATTTCCTGAAGGGGTATACAATCCACTAAGAGGGATATACTTAATCAGGATGGATCAGCTTGCTCATGAGAGACACTCACAGATAATGACTTTGAGTTGCTGAGAATATTCAGCACATTATTTCAAAATGGCAAAATGCAGGGCGATCTGAAAATTCAAAAGTGACAGCTACATTTGCTGGCAGGTTTACGTAAGACACACGTGCACTACAACCCCATTTTTCCAGTGTATATGTCAAAGGCCCAAGACCCTTGATCATAAAAATAAGTTATTTTGTACATTACAGTGCACAGAACAACAGAGGAAAGACACTTCTTAGAGAGCGATGCAAAGGCATTCGGTAAAAGGTTCATGTCGCTCTGACGTGGAAGGACTGGAGCCAGGGCCTCATGGCCTCATTAGCTTGATGCCTCCTCTTCCTTGGCTGCCGAGGCCTCGGTGGGAGCCGACTCCTCTGAACGTTCTGCTGGCTTCTCCTCCTCCTCCTCTTCCTCCTGGGGATAGAGGTCAGGGTATTTCTGCATGCACTCCTGCATGGCTCGGAACTGGTCTACACAGTCTGACCCCTTCATGTCCTCTGTGCTGTGGTGGAAGCAGGAAAAGGCCGACTTGAACTGTTCCCCACAGGGGCCACTGGCCATTCCCCCAAGGCATGGGCAGTTCCAGTTAATGTCTCCATTTGGCAGGATCAATCCTGGAACAGGAAGATGGGTAAGAAAAATGTGAGGTTCCAGAAAAAACAAAATCAAAACCCAGCCCATCCTCACAGGCCACTCAGGAGGTGCAAGACAGTCTGAACTGCTGCCTGGGAGGCACCCGTCTGTGACCTACCTCTTGGCCTGGACTGGCTTCAGTGCCTGGCGCAAGCCCAGCACCCCTTGGCTCGGCGGGAGAGAAGCCACCGTCGGCAACTTTCTCTATGTGTAACAATGATCTACATTCTAAGTCACCTCCCAGTGTTGTCACAGTGGCTGTGTTCCAAGAACTAAATAGTGGAAACCATTTAATCTCCAAAGAAGCCATCACTTGGATGTTTAACACGCGCTGCGAAAGCCCACTTAAAGGAGCTGAAGTGTTTATTCATCCCCACTGTTCACCCTCTGCTCCCCTCCCATGCAGAGCGTCAGCACCAGCTCCCACACCTGCATGGCCCCCTCCTCTTCAAGCCCCTCTCACTCTGCGGCTGCTGTTAAGCTCAGCATGAGGGCTGGCCCTCCTGCACTGACTGGGAAGATGTCCAAGACATGCCACATGGGGAAAAGGCTAGTGGCAGACCAGAGTGGTATGATTCCTGTAACAATGAGAAACCTGAGGGGTACCAACCATAGCACCAAACTGTTAAGTTGCACCTATGGCTGGTGAGGGGGTGGGATGACAGATGGATTTTCATTTGCAGTATTATATAGACCCCTTACTTTTGATTTTGACACTTTTTCTTTGAACCTGATTCACATCTAAAGAGTATTTCCTGATTTTCCAACATGCTTTCAAGATGGCTTCCTTTTCAGCTTTGGGACAGACACAGAAATACAATTCATACAGAAGTTTCTCACGTGACTCCTCTGCAGAGACTAAGAGCATTCTTTAAGACAGACTCAAAATGCCCAGTGAAATCACACAACTTTTTGCTCTAGCTGTGGCACTCTGACCTAGTATTCAAAGTTCTAGGCTTGGGCTGAAAGCAGCTTCTGAATTCTAGCTCAGGAAGCTTTACTGATCAACAAAGTTGTGGCAGTTCCTCACTTGTGAAGTGGGCTAAAGGTGGAGACTTTGACAGGAACTGCCCCTGGTGAGCGCTCACCACTAGCACCATTAAGAGCTGGGTGCAGCATCTTGAACGTTAAGCTCTATGTAGTAAATAGCACTTTTGACAATCTTCTGCAGGAAGTACTGGCCCCAGTTAGTAAGAGGTTGTTGGGATTCAGGGGTTCGCAAGTCAGGACTGCAGCTGGGGCCCGCAGGATTCCCAGCTGTTTCCCCCATCTCACCACCTCTCTCTACGCAGGCCGGCTCAGTGCTGGAACCATGCAGGCACACCTCAGGGATAGCGCAGGTTCAGTTCCCACAATAAAGTGAATCTTGCAATGAAGCGAGCCAAATGAATTTTTCAGTTTCCCAGTGCAAATCAGTTATATTTACGTTATACTGCAGTCAAGAGTGTAGCATTATATCTAAAAAAATGTACATATCTTAATTAAAAATACTCTATTGCTAAAAAATGCTAGCCAGCATCTGAGCTTTCAGCAAATCATACTCCTTTTGCTGGTGGAGGGTCTTGCCTCGATATCGATGGCAGCTGACTGATCAGGGTTGGGGTTGCAGCAATTTCTTAAAATAAAGTTTGCTGCATCAACTGATTCTCCCTTTCGTGAATGGTGTCTGAAGCAGACAGCAGCTTCAGAGTGTTAGATGAAGCCCAGATGCAATATGGGTTCAAACATGCGATCAAAGGCCGGAGTTCTAGTTCACTAGCTTCCTTGGCTTGTACCCACCTCCACCCAGGACCTCAGTTTTGCCACTGGACCAGGTGATCTTTAAGGCCCTCCTACCTTTTTGATTCTATGAAAAGTAACTCTGCTGTTCCAAGAGCTATCTCAGCCATGGAACTGGGTGCTGGAGTGCAGGCAGTTGGCATAAATTGGCAGCCTACTTAGTCTGCATAGTATTTTTGCAGTTGAGAGCTCAGGACCTGGGTCCCAGATATCTTTTTTATACACTTCTTCATACATCTATTCACCTGAAGGGGCTGCAAAGGCAAATACCTATAGTGTCTAAGCAGATGTATTATAAATGACAGAAGCTTGGAGAGAAAACAAGGACAATAAAGTCTGGCAGGAACTGGAGGGGAAGGCATGCTCTTGAGGCAGCCTCATTCTGTTTAAAAACACTATGAGGCAGACAAAACAAAGCTGATTTATCCTGCAGGCTTCTCAGTCTCTATCAGTTAATGAAATGTGCTTAATATGACGGACCTAAAGATAGGCCAAGCACTGGAATTTACACAATTTATTTTTCTTTGTAAGATGCTGATTCAAGATTTCTCCTGAGCTGTGGCTCTCAGAACGCTAACACTTCACATAACGTGTGCACTTCCCACTGTTCCAATGGGATGCAAAAGACGCATCCTTCGTTTTACTCTAATCCTTGGGAGCAGTCAGGGCAACATGTGAAGGGTCCTCTGAGGATGTACACTTTAGTAAGCACTTGGGAAATTCTCATCAGGAGCCCATACTTTACAAGCTCTTTCAACCACATCTATCACCTATCAGCATTGAAGGTTAATTAGTATCATGGTGTCAGAAATAGCTTTAGATAGTGAACTGTTTTACAGTATGTGGATGGATGTTTATGAATGCTGCACACACACCTGGGCCTCACATGGGCCAAGTAAGTTCAAGTGAGTCAGCAGTCTAAGCCTTTGTGTAAAACCCTATAATGGAGTTGTGTGCATAGTTCTGACACTGTGGGCTGAATCCTGCTGAAAAACCGGCCCTCTCCCCCGAATCAGCTTTTCCTGAATGTTGCTTGCTGGGGCTCCTACGAGGAGAGAGCAGCAACTGCACATCCAGCAGAACAAGGTACATGACCTCAGTGCCTGCTTGCTCAGAGTCTGTACGTGCAGCAGAACTGAGTCCAGCAACCAGGCCGAGTGGGAGGGTCCCTATCACCTTGGTCAGCACCTGCAGCTGCTGGAACCCACTGACACCCTCCCTCAAAACGTAATCATCAGGGAGCATCCGACCAGCTTGAGTCGGTGCAAAGACTCAGGAGGAAAAGAGGCAGAGACCTTCACTAAGGAGAAACCCAGCTGCCTGCCTAATGGCTGGGGTGCATCAGAACAAGGGCTGGAAGGCAGTCTACAGGGCCCGCACACCTGACAGCCAGTCCGCAGCTGAGGTGGACGCCTGGAAACCCAGCCGAGGCTGGGAGCAGACGGAACAGCTCCCTCAGTACGTGCCTGTGGGCCCCGGGAGGCCCCATGTTACCGTGCTCCTCGTATGGATCGTTGGGGTCATCGGCCACGAGCTCTGCGTTGCTTGGAGTTTCGTGGTCTTCTTTGGTCACAAATATGATTCGATCCTTCCCTAGAGTTTGGAGAACAGAGGAAGAAATGTTTCATCCTAAACACAAGGTAGCCACGTAAGCCAAGTTTGAAGACTGTCCCACGTGAAACCTCAAAGTGAGGGGCCATCAGATGGGCCTCCTGGGCCGCGTTGCTGACTCTGAGAGATGGTCCAGCAGCCACCTCTCCTGAATGCCTGCAGCTGACCAACTCCACCGAGGTCATGGGTGAGGATGCCCTACCCGCCGTATGTATCCTCCAGGTGAGACCAAGTGCCCCAATCCAGTTGGTGCTGCTGCTTTCAGTCCCTACAGCTGCCACAACTCGTTTCTTCATCCCATCAAGAGAGGAGCTGTCCCCCCTCAGAACTCCTCCAACCCCGACGGTCCCAGGATTCCCCATCAACCCCTGGAGACCCATCTGCCTGCTGTGTCTCCCCTCCTCCCAGGCCTCACAGGGTCTGCAAGCAGCCTTCAGATGACACATGGGGAATGAAGACAACTTACTAGGCGGGGAGGGGGTTTGGAAGGCGTGCTGCTGAGCACCCCTGCCCCCCTCCACAAGCTGCTCTCATGCTGGAGGGCAAAGGAGTGGGAGGGACAGGAAAAAGCACAGAAGAAAGACTTGCTTCTTGACCCCCAGGGGTTACCCACAGGGTTCAGAATGCAAAGTGTGAGAAAGACAGAACTTTGACAAGGGGAGAGGTGCCCAGCCAGCAGCCCTCACAGCCCACAGCTCATGTAGCCACTTGATGTCTGTCCAAGGTGACATCCTGTGGGAAGAGACCCTGTCACAGCCTCTGGGAGGCTGAGGACACATGTGGTCTGGGAAGCCCATGGTCAAGACTCCCTCTAGGCTTGCTGGCTCCTAATCATGGCCTGGAGAAGAAAGGGATCATGACGGTGGGGAACACTGGTGGCTACCCACAGTCTGTGAGGGCTTGGGGCTATTTCCCAACAAGTGGAAGGGCTTGGGGCAAGAGGGACTATTTCACAGAGGTGCTGATATTAACTTCTGTGCCCATCTGCAGTTTGTTATTTTTTAGAATGCACACCCAATCCAAATATAATAGGCTTGGCAGTAGTGTCAGGACAGAGGCTCTAGAAGGCATCAGGAAGCCAGCCTTAACAGGGCCTGTGCCCTGGCCGACCAGAGTGCCCAGCCCCCGGTGCCTGGCTGCCAGAGGCTCCCGCCAAACGCGTACTTTGTGAGTCTCAAGGGCAGCTGGGTGGACACAGAAGGGAGAATCAGTGTTGACAACCAGGATGGGTGCCTTCCGAGGCTTGTTTCAGCTGGCCTTATGTAACCCTGTTAAGTTTTATCACCTTCTGCCTCATTTTAGACAACAGAAAACCAAGGCCCAGAGGCTACTCAATATCAGCCAGCCAGAAATGACAGGGCCAGCACCTCCCCTGTCCAACTCTCTCCCAGGCTCTGCCCCATGCCTTGTCAGCACACTACCTCACCTTCCTGAAGCCTGTGGCCCTCAGCTAACCGCCCGGCAGGTGTCCATCCCATATTCCTGCTGGGGGCGGGGAGCATCTCATCCTCACCCCGCACATGCTGCATGGCCATCAGTTTGCCCCGCAGCCCCTCAGGGGTGGACTGGGACCAGCCCTGCCGGGTCCTGCATGCCAGCTAGCTCCGCCGTCCTGTCACTACACTGAGAGAAGGCAGCAGGGGCCACTGCATGGTGCTGAGCCTGAGGTGGGACCCCAGCACTGCATGTCTCCAAAGACCACACTGTGGAGATCCTGGGCACACACACTCGCTGCCCACCCTACACACAGTAAAAATGACAGCTGCCACCGAGTACTTAGCTGGCATGTCACACTCTCCTGGGAGCTTTGGGTAGGAATAACTTTTGTATAATAAATACTGACCCTGACTCTACCCCAAGAAGCTTTAAATCCAAGGGAGTGTTTGCTGAGTGAATGGGCAGGAGTCTTTGCTAAGCTGCCAGGTATCCCTCTGATGAAGGGCAAGACAAATTCAGCAGCCCTACCGACCACCAGTTCTGACTCCGGAGAGCTGGCGTAATGGGACCCTCCTCTGGATGGGAGGGGCCTGGCCTTTAAGGTTTCTTCAGGCACCATTCAAATGTGCCCTTAGACAGGGCCTAGCCAGTGGCCTGGAGTGAGTTGGCCAGGGAAGGGGCAGAGCCGGCCTGCAGAAATGTGGCTCTCTGGCTATTTCTGACTATCTCGTACTGTTTTCCATTTGTACTTAGGAAGGCCAGTCACAGGCATGCTGGAAAAAGCTGGAGTACTTGAGGGAGGGGCTTGGGGAGAGCATGTGGGTGACAGCAAAAACCAGAGGACAGCTGAGGGGGCAGAGGGAAGGCACCCTGGAGCTTTACACCCTCCTGACCCCCACAGGGTCTCCCCCGTGGGCCAACAGTGATGACAGTGGACCCCTGGCTGAGCTGAGGTTTCTGTTCCCAGAGTGGGTCTCTGCCTCAACGCCTCACATTTTATCTCGGGAAAGACGGCTCTTCCCATGTGGCCTGGGAAAGGGTTTGGGCCAGGCAGCCAGGGCATATTAAAGTACCCAGTGGCCTTGTAATTCTGACCAGTTTTCAAACACTTGAAAGCCATCTGTAAGAATGCTGAATGCTAAGCAGAAGAAGCTGACCCGGATTTCTCAGCTCTGGCAGTTTTGTTCACCAAACTCTCAGCCTGGCCCTGGGTAGCTGGGTACTGGAGGCCTGCACGGGGTTTGTGAGGCAGAGGCCAGGCCGCAGCCAACAGAAGGTGCATCAAGGTCTCTGGCACATCCATTCTGCCCACTGGCTCCCTTGATAACTGTCATGCAGTCAGGTTGGGAATCACAGGCCGAGCCCATCCCACCGAGAATGTGCCAGGTCTCTCCCCCCAGGGGCAAGGCCTCTCATGCATCTTCCTGGACGTCACCCTTAGAGAATGGTTCTTCTGGATTGGTGGATGTGATGTTGTGATCTGTAATAAATACATTTTGGTCTTTGACCCTGTTTCTGGCACAGAGCTCCTAAAACCCTTGAAATGCCCCAGTGATTAAGGTGTCTTTTGATCCCATGTAAGGATCACCAGGAGAACCAGCCACGTGATTGAAGTGCAACTTTCACCCCCACTGGAGGGTGAACCAACTAACAATGATTCAATCAACCATGCCTGTATAATGAAGCCTCCATAAAAATCCACAAGGACAGGGTTCAGAGAGCTTCCAGGTTAGTGAGCAGGTGGAGAATCAGGAAGAGGGGTGCTCTTGAAGAGGGCACGGAAGCCCCACACCCCTTCCCCACACTTTGCCCCATGCATCTCTTCCATCTGGCCATTCATGAGTTGGGCCCTTTTATAATAAACTGGTAATCTAGTAAGTAAATGTTTCTCTGAGGTCTGTGAGCTGCTCTAGCAAATTAATGGAACCCAAAGAGGAGGCCTTTGGACCCTCAGGTCCGTAGCTGGTCAGAAACACAGGGGACGACCTGGACAGGCAGTGGCGCCTGAAGTGGTGGTGAGGGGCAGTCTCGTGGGACTGAGCCCTTAACCTGTAGGATTTGATGCCGTCTCCAGGTAGGTAAGAGTATCAGAATTGAGCTGAATTGTAGGACACTCTGCTGGTGTGGGAGAATTGCCTGGTGTGGGTTTGCACACTGGAATTGGAATTGTTGGCGGCACACCATAAGAACTTCCTTTTACACACACCTGGGCTCCCAGCAGTGTGTTTTACACCTGTCAGCTCATTTAATCCACTGTGGGGTATTACTGCAGCAAACATCATCTACCAGTTTGAATTAATGTTCTTACAGTGAATGCTGTCAGAATTCAATTCATCCGTCTGGTTTTGGAGTTAAGACTACAGGCAAGTGTTTTCACGTTTTAAGTGCAAGTTTCTTAGACATTTACATGGCAAAAGAAAAACAGTAAATCAATATAAGAATTTCTGTCCTTTGGACTCCATATATTTCTCAAACTTAAGAGGCAGTGGTCCCCCATGTTGGACTGACTATAGAAGCAGTAGCTTGTTAAAAGCATGGATCTGGGACTCGGGAGCCTTCACTCACAAGCTGACAGTGTGGCTCTTAAAACCTCAGAGACAGTCCACTCTCCCACTCCCCACTCTGTCCCTGAGGATCAAGCACACCCATCTCCATGGGGGCCCTCTACGTGGTCAGCTCACAGCCTGATTGCCCCACGTTCTGCACACCCGTGACTGGTTCCCTCATGCCTGTCAGACTGCGGCTCTCTACGTGGGCTGAGCTGTTCAGGCCTCCGTCCCCCACAGTGAACGCCCAGGATGGGCTCCTGGATTCCTCAACAGGCCAAGGCCACACAGCTGGCAAGTATACCAAGATGAACCTTGGGTCCGTCTGACTGCTGTTCTCACTGCAGCACAAAGGGGCCCCTCTGGGGTCCTTCACTGAGGTCTGATTCCCTCACTGGTCTGCACTTTAGTTCTGTAATTCCACAAACAAAAATAGCTTAATCAGGAGGATCTTTTGGATTCCTAGTGCCTTCAGTGCAAAGTACTGGACCTCCTAGCTCCTTGCCTCCTCCACTGTCTTTTTAACTTGATGATTTTTACACTTTTAATTAAGTTTATCCACATCTTTAGCTGACTTACAGTCAATTTAATCTAACTCTTGACCTTGTGGTAGCTTAATCTAACTCAGAGGCCTCATGGACAGAAGAGAAGTGTGGGAAGGACAGTCCGACTGAAATCAATCTGGCAGAGAATGCGATGATTCTGATCCTGACTGGGTGGTACTTTTCCAGGGCCACCACTGGATGGATCTGGATGGGGATCTGGTCCATTTGGGCTGCTATGACAAAATACCAGACTGGATGGTTTATAAACAACAGGAACTTTCTGCTCAGTCCTGGAGGCTGGGAGGTCCAAGATCAAGGCATGGGCTTGGCTGCCTTTTGGTGAGGGCCCGCTTTCTGCTCAAAGCTGGTGCCTTCTTGCTGTGTCCTCCCACAGTAGTAGGGGGCTCTCTAATCCCATTCATGAGGACAGCACCCTCATGACTTCAGCACCTCCCAGAGACCCCACCTACTACTACTACCAGCACCCTTAGGGGTTAGGATTCCTACGTAGGAATTTGGGAGGCACACAGTCATGCCATAGCACTTGGGGAAAGGTCCCCCAGGAGATCTGACTGTGGCCTCTGGGCAGGGACATCCCCAGTCCTGGTAACCCAGATGGTCACGCCTGTTGAATGGACAAATAACAGTAAAGGCTGAAAACCATCTGTAGAAAGAACAAAACCACAAGCCTGGGCCTGAGGGGCTGAAGGCCTTGGGCGCTCTGGCCCACAGCACATCAGTATTGCAGAGTCTGAGGACTGGGTCCCTCTCTTGGCTTAAGCACTTTAACAGATGTGGTCTCAGGAACCTTCTTGGGCCTCAGAAAACAGGCCCTGGCACCAGCTCAGACTACCTGCTTCCCATTGTGAGGGCAAAAATCAGGAGACTTCAGTAAACAAAAGGAGGTGGAGTGAGTTTCTGCTCTCACCTGAAATCCTGCTCAAAAGACGGCAGTTTTTAAAATGGCATCAAATGACAAGGATAAAATGTCCAGGAAAAGAGACAGAGGCTAAAGGTGTTAATAAGTTTTGGAAGTGGGAAAGTTAGCAGAGGACTGCTCTCTGACATATGAATAGAAAAAGCAGAACTCGAAAAAAAGTCCCAGGAGGGGAAGTCAGCTGGAAGAACCCAGTCCCCATGTGAGGACCCTGGTGAGGGCTGGGCACTGGAGGTCCAGAGGTCACCCTGAAGCAGGACTCGAGGTGGCGCTGAGAAGAGAGCACTGCTTGAGCAGCTGGACACCAAGACACCCCCAATTCTGTACTCTGTGTACAGTCGTCCTTGACTCCTGTCTTTCCCTCACACCTCCACCATCAGATCCAGCTGGCTCTACCTTCAAGTACATCCAGAATGATCTGCATCCTTCGCTGCCATGACCCCATCTCCCACCACCCATGCATTTTGCGCAAACATGCTGCTCACATGCCTGGCTCTGGGCCTTGCACAGGCTGTTCCTCCCTCTGGAGCACTCTCCTCAGATGTCCTCACAGCCACCCTCTCCCTGCCTTTATGTCTCCTGCTCAGAGGCCACCTTCCTTATCCCCTCCCTATCTCCTTACTCCGCTTCATTTTTCTCCAAAGCACTTCTCCTCACCTAACATATTATATATTTGTTCGCCATCTGCCTCCCCCCATTAAAATGTCAGCTCCTCAGGGCAAGGATTTGTCTGTTCTGTTCATTGCAGTACCCCAGAGCCTAGAACAGTGCCCCGAACACACTGGGTAATTAATATTGTTGAAAAAGTGAATGGAAAAACTGAGTTCCAGATTAGGACACAAGACTCCAGCCCCAGCAAAGGGCAGGAAAGATGTACCAGGCGAAGGGAACAGCCAAGAGGCCACCATGGCTGAGCAGTGTCAGGCTGGTTAGAGATCAGGCAGGGGCTGGATTACGTAAGCCCTTATATGACAAGGAGTTTGGAATCATTTCTCTAAGTATAAAGAATTCGTGTGTAGAAGTACAAAAGGCTGGGCATTTAGGGGATAGTTATATGGAAAAGATAAAAACTAGGGAAGCACTAAGGTGCTTTCAACTTGCATCCCCAAACTAAGAGAGATCTTTGACCCAGGAAAAGATAAGGATGGAAAGGGCCTCTCCTTCCCAGAGAACATGTGACTCCTATAAATCATCAAGGGCAAGGAAGGACCTTATTTGCACAGACTCATTATCCTGAAAAGCTCAGTTATTTGCTACATGAAGTTAAATTAGAGATTCAGAGAAAACGAAATTAAAAACAAGACCTGCAGCCTAATAAAGAGGTGAGGGCAAAGGACTTTTGTTCATGGCTCAGTTAAGTATTAATCAACAGATACGGTCCTCATTAGGGACATCAGTGAGTATTAAGGCTTTCTGAGTGGGGGGGGGGCGGTATTCTAGAGTGACAGGGGGGTACTAGGGAAAGGATTTTAGCATTAGCATTTTAGTTTGAGCTGTTCCCCCTAACCAGCCGCATGACCTTGGGTAGGTCACCTCCTTCTCTGGCCTCAGGTTCCCTGAATTAAACTGAGAGAACTGGACTGACTATTCACCGAAGTGCTTTGGGTGAAGCCCAACTTTCTCTAGCTTTATAGTCTCAGGTGTCCAGTCATCACCAGGCCCAGAGAAGGTTCTTCAGGAATATCTGCTGAATGAATGAGTACCACCTTCTCATTTACAAGGTTGGAAACTGTGGCCTGGAAGGGTTAGGTGGCAGCTCAGGGACAAAAGAGCCAGTCAGTGGTGGTGGGTGGGGAGGCCCTCGAACTTCTGAGCTCCCCCATGGAGGTAACAAGGTAGAGATGGCAGAGCCCAACTTTGTTTTGGGATGTTGGGGCTTTTTTTCCCAGCTGAGGGCTCCCAGGAATCCAGGGGGTACCAGACTGGATAGTGCATTTCTAAAATCAGACTGCGAGACTCAATCCCTGGTTCTACAACTTACTGGCCGTGTGACTTTATCACCTCTGTGTTTTAGTTTACTTTTCGGTAAAACGCAGATAGTAACAGAGCCTGACTTAAAGAGGTCGCTACGAGATCAATGAGCAAAGACATATAAAGCTCCCCTAAAAGTGCTTGTGTGTAGTAGGGGCCCAATAAATGCTCCCGTTGGTGGTACTTGTATCAATCCAGCACAGCGCCTAACCCGAGTGGAAACTTTTCGGGACGTGCAAAAAAGTCGCGTGCAAATGGAAACACGTGCTGTGGAATTAGAACGATAGTAATAATAAATCCCCAAATACGAGCCAGAGGAAACGATCTCAGCACTTCCTGCGCCCCGTCCGGCCTGATTTATGAACTCCCCCACGTGCTGGTCCCTCTGAGGTCCGGGTTCGAGGCTCCCCCGTGACCTTGGACGAGCCTCGATCCTCCCAGAGTCTCGGTTTTCTCATTTGCAAAACGGGGGCGACGACCCCGCTGCCCAACCCGCCCGAGGCTCCCGGGAAAGGCACCCCGGACCGCGGTCGGGCTGCCGGCGCCTGCATTAGGGTCGTGGGGCGCCGAGGCCTGTGGTGGCCAAGCCGCACAGTCCGCTTGTCCCCTGCAGGCGCTCGTAAGCCGGTCTCCATGGCAGTCCGCCCTCCCTACCTTCCTGGCGGCAGTAGGCCATGGCTGCAGCCCTGCACTCAGAACCCGCAGTAACAGTGATAGCCGCGATAGCGGCTGCAGCTTCGCGCCGTGACCTCTCCTCAGGCTGGGCGGGTGGCTCCGAGGCCCGCGCGGTTCCGCCCCCTCCAGGCCTGCCCGCCGCGCGCCTGCCTGCGCGCCTTCCCAGCCGCAGCCCGACCCCCTAAGCCGAGAACTACATTTCCCACGTGGCTGCGCGCCGCCCAGCCCTTCTTCGGGCTGTAGGAACAAATTTCCCGGAATAGCTTACAGTGCGCAGGCGCAACAGTGAGGTACAGCGCGCAGTGCAACTTTGCGGAGAAAGCACCTAACCCCGGACTACATTTTCCAGGAGGCCTTGCGGCGCGCGGGGGCGCAAAAGTTGGGCCCGCGGGGCGGTAACTGTATAGCAAGTCCTCGCTGGTCCTGGGCTTCGCGCGGCTTTTCGCAACTCTCGGACACGGGAGAGGCCGCTGGACTCGGCGCTCCGGCGCTAAACTTCTTGCGTAGCTGGGTGAAGCGAGGTGGGGCTGTGAGCCGGGTCCCACCATGGCCGCCAATGTGAGTGCCTCCGGGGCCGCCGGGCCCCACCCAGACTTCCCTCCTTCCCGAAGGGCTGCTCAGGTCCGTTTTTTCTGACCGCCAGCCGTGCGGCCGGCCCCCGTCTCCCTGTGCATATCCATATCTGTGCCTCCGGCCGCGAACCCGCCTGCCCATCTCAGCTGTCCAGGCGCCTTTTGTCCATATTATTTGGTCCACCTCGTCTTCGGGGCGTGCGTTTGTGGGGAGAGCGACTCGGGATGTTGCTTTCGGCAGTGGGATGTCCTTGTGTGCGGCGCCTCTGCAGCCCGTCCTTTCATCCTTATGCTCTGCCTGGGTCCTTGGGGTTCCCAAATTTGCGGACTTTGAGGGCTGACGGGACCTCAGGCGGCCAGCCCGCGCGGTTAGGATGGAGAAGCCGATATCGCCCAGGTGGAGCTGTTTGACGAATAGCCGCCTGGGCGCAGTGAGCTAGCTCTCCGCCCTAGGGACTGTGTATAAACCGAGTCTGTGATGCTGCAAAGGGGCTCAGCCCAGATTGGGAGCCGAGGAGTTGGGATGATTGTGAGAGGGAGCATTTCCCCTCCTACTCCCGGTCCTCTCTTAACACTAGCGTGAATTTGGGTCTAGAGGCACCCAATCTTCGAAAGATTGCTGTTACGGCCAGCCTTTCCCCAGAACCCTTCTGTTTAACCCCCAACGTTCATTCAACAAACCGAGCAGCGCCTCCCCACTAGGGTTCTGGGTGTGGGAGAAGCTGGTGACTCACCACTCCCCGCCCCTGTGAAAATGCTTCTGGAGCCAACCTGGGTGCTCTGCCAGCCCCAGACACTCCCTCCCTCCTGCTTTGGTGGAGTGTACTAGCCTCTCTCCCCTGGCCTGTCACACCCTCTCTCTGGGCCCCTCCTCTGCCCCCAAGCGTCCTCTCTGCCTCCCACACCCACTGAGAAGCAGGGTTTGTGTCACCGCTGCCCTAATTAAGGTTGTCTGGGAAGCCTAGAAGCCTTGAACGCTGCACCTTGAAAAGCCTCAAAGGTGGTTCAGGAGACCCAGGGTCTGCCAGGGGCGAGGGCAGCTAGGAGACCTGCCTCCTCCCGTACCACCATATCTTACAGATGGAGAACTTCCTCTCAGGTGGAGGCACTTGCTCCAGGTCTCACAGCCAGCTTGGTGGGCTGTCCTGGGAAGGTGCTAACGAGGCAGGCTTTGTAGTGAGGCACACTTGGAGGCAAATCCAGTTTCTTCCTCTCAGTAGCTAATGTGGCCTTAATCTCTCTGGGTTTGTGTTTCCTCCTGAGACCGGTTACTGTGAAGTTTAGGGCGACTGTGTTTAGCAGAGTTCCTGGTACATAGTAGGTACTTGATACATGAAAAAGTCTGTCTTCACAGTCTCACACAGATGGTCCTGGTGGGCAGAGACCATCTTGGGTATTTTGGGACTCGACCTTTGCCAAGGAACACAAATGAATTTTGGTATCCTTGGCAGCCAAGCCTTTGTTGATTCATCCAGTAGCCAGGCGCACAGTTAGTTACTGGAGCCACCAGGTCCAGTGAGGAAAAAAGCTTTGAGGATGGTGGGGTGGAGCAGGGAGGTGACAGAATTCTTAATCAGTTTAACAAGTGTTGTGGGAGGTACTGTTTACCATCTCCATTTTATTAGTGAGTAAACTGGATCGGAGAGGTATAGCAGCTTACCCAGGGTCACACAACAAGTAATTTTCAGGGCCTGTGCCAACCTTTGTTCCTACCACTCAGTACTTCTGAGCCCAGAATGCTGGGATTGGGAGGGTATGTGTCACTGAGCATACATGCATGTATTCGGCACACATCAAGGAGCCAACATTAAGATAAGGGGCTCAAAGATGTCCTTGAAGGGAAGAAATGTATAAGGGCTGTTCCTCAGGCTAGGGGAGGAGAGGTAGGGAGGGTAGTCAGGGGAGGGCCCAGGGAATCTCTACCATCCCCCCTTGACCCTCCATATTTGCTGGGAGTTTGGTTCAGGTGGTGGGCTGGGTGTGTCAGGCCCAGGAGGAAGCCATGCCTTCCAGCCCCCAAGTTTGGGGCCGTGCTGGTTAACATTAGAACTGGTTTCTTTTTCTTTCACTATATGCAGCCAGCTCCCAATGTTCAGCTCTGGTTACAGCCCAAAAATTGAGGAATGAGGTCCAGAGTCAGGTGGTAGGAGAGTGACCTCCAGTCTACCCAGATTTTAGTCCTCATTACCACTTAGAGGCTGAGTGATCTGAGCTGATGACTCCCCCTCCTGAGCCTCAGTTTTCTCATCTCTGAAATGGACTAGTGATGGCACCCACCCCCTTGGGTGTGCCCATGATGGCTCTCTGATAGCCTGGGCTGTATGCCTTTTGTCATTAGGATGGTTGATGGTCACCTGCGTACCTGCAGAGAATTGCTCCACTAATGTTGCCAAATGGCATGCATTGTTGTCTTGCCACTGGGTTTCAGCCCCCGGCAAGGTCGCTATGGATTCAGTGTGACCAAGAAAATGACAGTAGAACCTTTCTTTGGGGTGAAAGGGTTTATTACCCAGCTTATTCTCCCGTTGTAGGTCGAGCACTAGCGTCTCTGCCTCTGCCCAGAGCACTGGGCGGAGCTCTCTGTATAGCGCAATAATAGCTATTGCCTAAAGGTGTGGAAGCGGTAGCCTGGCAACAGGCCAGTTACATCATCAGGTGGTTGAAGTTCAGTGAGGCCATAGGAACCCCAACTTCCCCACAGTTGTCACTACCATTTCTGAACACAGTGGATGTCTGGCCCCTGGCAGGCCTGGGCCGGTGGTTTTTGGGGGCAATCAGAGAACATGGTTCAGCCTTGTTCTAGCAGAGACTCTGACCTGACTCCCTCCACTAACTTCCCAGGGCCAGGATGGGGCCCGGCTCACCCTGAATGTTAACCTTGGACCCATTTTGCATCTTCGTGACTTCTGTCAGCTCATCCTCAGCCTTGGTTCCAGCCTTGGTATGTTAGTCACAGGGAAAGCTGATGACATTCCCACTAGCCAGCACTTGTGTGCACTTACGGTGCCCTGGGCACTGAGCCGTCTAATAATTAGGTCCTTTGGTTCTCACCACAACCCTGTGTATTGGTTTATTATCCCATTTGTCCCTGAGGAAATGGAGGGCATAAAGGGATTATGTTGCTCGCCCGCTGCATGGCAGAGCCTGGATACAAACCCAGTCCTTCTGGCTCTAGAGCCCTGCCCCTGACAATGACACGCCTGACCAGCAGTGAACACACTCCAAGGCATGTTTTTGTGTTTAGGTGGACACAGCCTGATCAACTGACTCTGGAGTTTGAGGCCTGCCGTGGACCTGCCTGTGTGCCTGGTTGCCCTCTTTCCCTCCTCATGCCCCTAACAACCCAGCCCAAGCAGATAGGTACCTGTTTCCCCAGGCCCCCTACCTGCTTGTCACCATTGCTCATACAGTTCCCCCTGCTAGGAATGCCCCTACTGCGGGGTCTGGTATCTCACTCAGATGCCCCCACTTCCAGGGAGCCTGCTTGATCTCCCAGCTGGAAGGGGTCATTCCTTTAGCAGGGACAGCAGGCACTCAGCAAGGTCTAACTCTGTGATTTGATGCCCCTAAAGCCTGTCTACCCCTCCTCTCACCCCTACAAGGTCCAGTATGGCCCTTGGGTAATGAGTCACTATTTTTTGAGGTGAATTAAAACTATATCTCTAATAACCTCTTTGTAAAACAGTTTGGCACTTTACAAACATATTCTCTCTGATCCATCAATTCTACTACTAGGTATATACCCAAAAGCAAGGGAAATGAAAACATTCATCTGTGTGAAGACTCATACAGGCATTCATAAAAGCGTTATTCGTAATAGTGGAGAACTAGCAAGCACCAAGATGTCTGTCCACTGGCGAATGAATCAACTAAAGTGGTAGACTGATAAATGGGACACTTCTCAGCCACGAAAAGGAACAGACTAATGATACACACCAGAACGTAGATGAATCACAGGACAGATGAATCTCAAAAGCATTGTGCCAAGTCAAATAATCTGGACAGAAGAGAGTTCATGTTGTATGGTGATGCTGTTTATATCAGGTTCAGGAAGAGGCAAAACGAATTATAATGATACAAATTCAAGTAGTTGTTACCTGTGGGAGGTTGGGAGAGGGGAGTATTGGCAGGAAAGGAACACAAGGAAATTTTCTGGGGGAGATAGAAATGTTCCGTATCTTGATCTGAATGTTGCTCAAATGGGATATGCATTTGTCAAAACCCCTCAAGCTGTATGCTTTATATCTGCATTTTAGCACACTCAATTATTATACTTTGTTGGTGGGGAGGGTGGAAAGCTAACTCTTTTTTCCTTTCACTGATTTTTTTGATTATGAAAGTATTACATTGTCACTATTTGGATAAAGATAAAACTGAAAATCTACCCAAGCATCACCACCCACAGAGTTGTTACTAACATTCACTGTGTATTTTGTATATTTTTAAAGGTTGTTTGTATATACAGTTCTTAGCCTATTTTTTCATTGTTTTTATTTATTTTATTTAGGTATATACAATAAGAGGCACAAATTTTAGTGTACACCCTGATGAATGTTAATGTGTGTATACAGTCATGGAAACAGCATCCGAGCCAAGACATGAAACATTTTCCCTAGTTTTTTCACCCTTCGCCTGTTTCACGCATCCCTCCTGGCCCCCATGACCACCACCAGTGCTGTATTTTCTGTATCTGTGACTCTAGTCACTATTTCTGTTTGGTTTGTTTTTTTTAGATTCCACATATAAGTGATATTGTATGGTATTTGTCTTTCTCTGACTTCTTTCATTTAGCGTAATACCCTGTAGGTCCATCCATATTGTCACAAATGGCAAGATTTCATTCTTTTTTATGGCTGAGTAATATTTCATTATATATGTGTATTATGTAATCTTTATCTGTTCATCTGCTGATGGACATTTAGGTGGCCTCTGTATGTTTGGCTTTTGAAAATATGCTGTGATAAAATAGGAGTGCATATATCTTTTCCAATTAGTGATTTTGGTTTTGGTTTTGGTTTTGGTTTGTTTTTTTTGTGGGGTGGGGGATAA